CACTGATGGCATAGTGTTAGCCAAACAAATAGTTCTGATAAGATTCACGTTAATACTCCGGGGTATCTACTTGTGTGTCAACAGAGAAGATAGTTGCCCTATTGCTTCATTAGCTTTGGAACATCTCGAGCTAATTTCTATCTCCAGTTTTCCGTCGGATGTGAAAATTGCTCCCAATTACTGAAACTCCTCTGTGTGTCTTAAGGTCTTGTTGTTGTTGTTGTTGTTTTTTCAAGCTACGGAACATGTGCTTTAAACAGACATGCTCTCTGCATGCAATAGAAATATCTCCGATTTTGCTAGTTGGCATTCCAACCGAAATCAAACTGTTCGCATCTGTGGAAAACGTTCATATTACCGCAGACTTCACAGAGGCATGAGGCCTTCTCATCTGAAAACCACAGGCAGGGAGATATATCTTTGTACTTATTCTTGGAGTCGCCACGGTAGTATACTGCATACTGAGAAAGCTGCCAGCATTGTTTCAATCCCCACAACAACAACAAATGATAACTGCAACTTCTCCCACTGGTAAATATTTACCACAAGAAATCAAAGTAAACTTCCAAAATTTGCAAGTCCTTTTCAATACACATAAATTAGCTGGATATAACTTTCAAGAAACGAAAATCAGTTGCATGTCCTTTTCAGGACGTTCAGAAACGAACTTCAGGACTTCAGTAGATCGAATAATTTTACATTAGTAGTTTACTTATATCAGCGTTTTTGGCTTAGTCATAACAAACGCGCTTCGTAATTAACAGACGGCCGAGTTCGATCCCAGATGCAGGCATTGTGAGGTAGATCGCCTTGCGTTGTTTTCTAAAATGTTATCGACAGCCGACTGTTAAGTGGTTGTGGCAAACTACCGAATGCAAAAATCCCTAGTGAAACAGCAAACAGCCAGACGATTTTTGGGTTGCTTCTGCAACATCCTGTAAAGGACACACAATTAACTAAAAACCTAAAGTTTGTTGATCATCACATTTTGAGTAATACGAACCTCACATAATATCGACAATTTAAACAAAGCGGTCTGCAATCAACTCATTTGAGCCCGGGTATGTCAAGCTTGGGAAACTGTGTCAACAAGAATGAAATGCTAAGCACAGACTAAGAGACTAAAGGCAAACTTGGCTAATTAACATACATAATCCCCTGACTCTTCTTCCTCCCCCCTCCCTCCTCCTCTCCCTTTTCTTCTCGCTTGCTCTTTTGCCTTTTATGGTGTAGAGGGAGGAGAAAAAAGATCTGTTTCTTGCTCTTCTGATCTTTACGGCTATGGGCACATCGTGCTGGTGTAGAGTTTGATATTATCTTTCCATATTCTTCTTGCTATAACTCGTGTTCGAGGTCCTTCTTCTCTTTTGGTCTATGTCTTGTAGGAGATGGCGTCATATGTCCTTCTTTCTAAGTTGGCAAACCAGTTGATCTCCTTTCTTTGTAATATATTTTAAAATTGATTCTGTGCCGAATTTTTCTCTTAGGACCTCATTCTTGATTTGAGCTCTTTTGGTCATTCATAAAGCCGTTCTCAGACGTCATATTTCCATGGTTATTAATTGCCTTTTCTAGTTTGTTGTTAATGACTATGCCTGACACTGGTAGCATAGAATGGGAATAAATATACTTTTATGAGATATTTCTTTGTGCTGGTAGGAATTGTCTTATGCTGTAAGAATAAAGCTAGCTGTCTTAATACTTGGTTTGCTTTACTGCATCTGATGCTCATTTCTTCATGCAATTTGCCATCTTCAGTGACTGTTGTTCCCAGATATTTAAACGCATATGCATTTTTAATGCTTTTGATCTATACTTTTATATTTAAGTGCTGCATTTTTCTTTTCATATTGCGGTTATTTCTAATTATGCCGGATTATTTACCACAGAACATGTGAAGTTTACTCTTTTTACATGCCTCAAATAGATTTATATCTATAATTTCGGCTATAATGTATGTCAGTAAATGCTACTTTTTGATTTTTAATGTGTAAATAATCTGTAAATATTGTGTAATCAATGTCATATCTATAAATAATATAGACTATTACTTGATATTTAATTTCTCTTACCAGGAGCAAGTAATTTCGTTCTCCCAAACAAAATGTAATTCAGTAAACAAAGTTCATGCCTTTTTTTAAGTGAGTGATGCATCAGGCATTATGTGCTACTCTCATATATTTAAAGAAAAGCCGGCTCTCTATGGTTATTGTGGGCAACGGACGCTTTTACTTCCCAAGACATTACCTGGTACAGATTTGAGTGTCGGTGAAAAAAAAATCATTTTCGATTTGGATTTGACCCCCAAGACCTTGGAGCCAACAGGTGAGTTTCTAGTCGCTACTCTACCGCGGCTCCTTATTATATTTGAGTTAATCCTTTTATATTCCTGTGTACATGTGTATGTTAATGTGGATATGTGTCACGTTCACAGATCCCTACGTTAAGGTCACGTTGTGGCAATTTGGGGAGATCGTGGGTCAGTTTCAGACGGCCGTGAAAAAGAACACAACGGCGCCATTTTTCAACGAAATCTTTGAATTTCAGGTATTTCCCGATATTCGTAATACATTTTTAATTAAGCTTGACGATATAAATTATTATTTTGTTGTTATCATCATCATCAACATCATCATCATCAACATCATCATCATCATCATCATCAGTATTATTATTCTTTGAGGGTCATTTGTGCAGTTATCTTCATTATTATTATTCCTCGCCTTTAGACATTTTGGACGTATATGACTAGACTTATATTTTATAGACCAATCGACACTTGTTGAGTGATCGTTTTTAGCAACAAGCCGGCCGCCTTTACTTCCCACGGCTCCACCTGGTACCAATTCAAGACTGGGTCTCCCTGAGTGCCAGGGTAAGTTTTGAAAAAAAAGTATTCTACCGTCAGCATCCGAACCCACGACCTTCCGATCCGCAAGCGAGCGTCTAGTCGCTAGACGACGTCATGTCTCAGGGAAGATATCACCTGCCTCCATTCATCTCTCCAACAGGCTTTCTCTTTCCAGTTATTAACTGCATGTGTTTGCATGTCTGCTATGTCTGCCAGTATATATTTATTTCCACGGTCTTAACGATACGAACATAACAATAAAGAATGTAAAACACCCTTTCCCCTTATTAACTCATTGGACATGTGGTGCTAAATCCAGATTTATGTACTTATTAATCGAAAAAGCCGGCGATGTGGTCACTATCACGACTTCGTATTTTATTTCTGTGACATTTTCTGGCACATATTTTGGAAAGGGGACAATGCCCTGCAGGCTAAGAATGACAGGTCTGTTTATCAACCTTCTACACTTACCATGATAGATCATGTGAGTTCAGTTAACCCTTTTTCTGCTTCGTCATGGCCGTACCTGTCTGTCCTGTTCTAAACAAGGTGGGGAGGGGGGGGGGGGATATATCTGCTGTGTGCAATACTTTTCTATCCTCGAAAAGCAAAAGATGCCTCGGCGGTGAGGGCTATTTTTTGTACACCTACAAATTTTCACCCTAGGGAGGTGTGTGTGGTTGACCCGAGTGGTGACAAGTCAGAGGCACGATAGTGCCCCACTAGCCTGACCGTCGAAGATGAAGCCTCCGAGGGTGGAGGAGGGAGGTGGGGAATTAATAGGAAAAACTGATCCCAGTCCCTATACCAAAATTTGATTGACGAACCTACCACGGCTCCCACTTTAATCATAGTTACTTTTAGTCACCATGTTATTACATTAAAAAAATATATATACATAATAAAAATACATGGGTCATCCGGTGCTGGAAGGTGGCAAGAATTAAATGTTAAATTTACAACAACAACAACAACAAAACAAGTTGGGAGTTGAACACTAGATCTTCTGATTCGAAGGCGGACGGGATACCAACTACACTAGACTATCATACGAAAGCAGTGACCTATAATAAGACTAGTATTATCGCATGTGATAGACTGGCACGTGCATCGTCTGTTGTATAGTATCAAACAATCCTCATCAAGCCTAAAGGGACATAAGACAGAGTTGTATAATATAGAAGGTATTATTTTAAATAACCTCCCCTTTACGAAATGAAAACCCTAGAAATTTACAAATCAAACACAAAGCACTAAAGTAACCAATTATATAGTTTTTAATACTGCTTATAGTATTTTTGTGTGTGAAATATTTCAAAGCAAGGAATAACACACAGTGCCAAATCACAGTCCTTGCACCTGAATCTGGTTTCGCGTCGCTTTTTGCTTTTGTGTGTGTGTGTGTGTGTGTGCTCATACCACACACTTTCTTCCTGGGCCCTTCTTCAGTGGTGTTTCGGACTCTATTGTTGAAAAGAAATGTCTTTGCACTAACCGCAGTGGCAGATCTTCACTCCTTCGTCCTCCTACATTCTTTCTCTGTTCTTTACAATATTTTTATAGAAATTCTCTGATTAGAGTTACGTGAAATTCAGTAATATTATTCCCCATAACAATTGTGCATAAGCAATGCGCATTTAAGAACTGTAATCTCTACACCCTGGACATTTCCATAAGCGCTCCGTTCCCATCTTCAGCAACCAATGCAGAGATCCAATTCCGATGGCGTCAGTATGATTTTGACCCCCACCTCCCCCCCCCCCCCCCCCACAACCGAGTGTTGAGTGTCGGCCAATTCCTCTAATCACTGTCACCTGCAACCATTCTCTGATTTAAGCTGGAAAAAAAAGAAAGATAATGGACATCGAACACTGTCTGACCTTTAGCATGGCTTCTTGTAGCACGGATAATGAGTATCTACAGTATTTAATTTTTTTTTTTTTTTGGGGGGGGGGGGGGGGTTGGGGGGGGGGGGGGGGTAAGATTCCATGGGCTTGTCTCTAGTTCAATAACGTCGATTCTCCATCATACAATAATAAAATCACAATCGAGTTATGACTCTTGTGGCTATATATCTTTACCCATCAAACTAAACTAATCATATGAATCACCTTTTCACACATGATTTTGTTTACCTCCATTACAGATCAACGTTCGATCGAAACCCTTAAGTCACACCAGAGTGTTGTTTGACATCCACGACCGGGATCGCTTGAGAGGAGACCCACATTTAGGACAGGTCATCATGGGACTGGGGTCAACAGAGGAGAGCGTCATTGAACATTGGCAAGAAACCGTTTGTGGAAACGGGAGAAAGATCTGTCGATGGCATTACATCATGGACAAGGGAGAAACACACGATCGTTAATCTCCCTTTAGAGCAACGGTCTCCAACATTTGGTCAGGTGGCTCCTTTCGTGAGTGCATGGCAAACCCAACCTCCCTCCCCATTTCCCTTCCCAGACCGCCCTTACGCTCTCCACCCCTAGCATAAAATGTGATTAGAAGTCAGAAGGGGTGGGGGTAGGGGGAATCCCATTTTCTGTTGAACAGAAAAAGGAGAAAAAACATTCACACATAAAAAAGTGTCAAATAACAAAAGAAACAATCACCAACCACAAAGAAACAATCACCAACAACTGGTAATTTAGTGTCAACAAATCACAGTGGCGGTTGACACTGTTTTGTTTGGAAAATGTCTGCATTTTGGGCTGATGTTGATCACTCTCCACACCAAGCTAGCAGCGCTGTTTTCTTTGTATGACATATTAAAGCTGAAAATCATATCCCGATTATTGGAAGTACAAATGGACTCAATTTCGACCCCCCCCCCCCCCCCCTTTTTCTATTTTAAACTTCATGACGGCTCAACCGCCCCCCCCCCCTTCTCCATTTTTAACCTTCATGACGGCTCAACCCCTGCCACCGCTCCCCCCCCCCCCCCCCACCCCTCTTCCACAATCAGCTGGAGATCACTGCTAATGCTGAAAGTTTGTATTCTTTTCTAAATTGTCAACTCGTCTCAATTTGAGACCGTTCTTATATCTACTTTTTATGTCCAAACATTTTCATTTGACCTCGGCGGATATATCTACTTTACAATATTCTTTACCCTCCCATCTAGACGTATGTTCCATATTTTATTATAATCACACGTTATGTCATACTTCACATTTGTAATCTATTTTTTTAAATACCTGTAATCGCTACACCAGGCTAGTGCAGCCTACAGTTCTATGAGGGAAAGAATACAATTACTTTTGCAAAGGGATTTGTTATTATCAGTCCCTAGTTAGCACCTATTTTGAAAACAAAGCCTTGGTTCCTTGGACCCTTGGAGTTCCTGTTAACTGTGCTTTAACAGATGTTTTAATAGATTAATAGTCAACACGAGGTATACAAGTACTGGAAATAATTGATTAGTATAGCAAATGGAGTTTGTAAAAAGCCCCTTTTCACGCCCTCAGGCGTATTGGGCATATAGGGCTAGACCTTTTTTTTTGTAGACCAATCAGCACTTGGTGGGTGATGTGGTCGGCATCACGCCGGCAGCCTTTCAAATTTGCTTTGAGTCGAACTTGGAGCCACTGTCATTTGAAAATGTCCAGCACAGTCATGATTTGAACCCACGTCCTTCGGATCCGTAAGCGAGCGTCCAGCCGCTACAACACGGCGGCCCCAAAATGAACTTTGCACAAGAGACAACGTAAAGGATATGTCCTTTTTTTACGCTTGTGTTAGATAGGCATGTAGAGCTGTACTTTTTTTTTTTTTTTTATAGAACCAGTAAGCTGTGAATGCCTGTAAGAATTAAATAAATAGAAACAGCAGTATGAAGAATGGGAAGGCACCGGGTGAAGACCGAATTAGTGCTGACATGTTACAGGCAGACCCATAGTTTACAGCAAAAGAATAACATTGAATTTTCAACAAAATATCAATAAATGAAGGGTCCTTACAGACTGGAAAAATTGTGTAATCATCCCACTACCGAAAAAAAGGTGATCTCTCGCCCTGCAACAGCTGGAGAGGCATAACATTATTGTCTGTACCCGGAAAGGCACTCTGTAGGGTGATACACAACCGAGTGAAGGCGTCAATAGACAGGGTTTTGTCGAAATATCGGGCAGGACAGAAACTGCTGTGATCATATTGCCCCTCTCAAAAAAATTGTGGAACAAGCTGTAGAATTGAATGTCACATTTAGTGATTTTGTTTATTCGTGCAGTATTGTTCTATTTATGTATGTAATGATGAAGGCTCAATTGCCGCAACTTTCACGTTCTTTTTGTGAAACTTGCTGATATGCTTTTCGTTCTGTTTTATATCTTTTCTTCACATTGAATATAAACGTTACAGACTCTGAAAAGACCCTTGACAGTCTAGATAGAACAGGGATGTGGAAGATCCTTACTGCTTATTGGTCATCAGATAAAGTTATGTATATGTATATATATATATATAGGTCTCTATGAAGGATACGAATGCAAAGAGAAAGTAGGACTCGTGGAAACAGAATACTTCAGGGTAACATCTGAAATCTGACAAGGCTACATTCTGTCACCTATGTTGTTTCTCATAGTAATAGATTATTTTACGAGGAAAGCAACCACAGGTACACGGTCGGGCTTTTATTGGAACCTTCTCGAACATCTGGAACATTTGGACTTTGCAGATGTTATCTGTGTCATCAGCCAAAGTAAAGAACATCTGCAACAAAAGACAGATACGATCACATAAATAAAACAAAATTGTTGGAGATTAACCCCAAAAGAGAAAGACCTAAAGTAACAATAGATTTGGAAATAGTAACTGAGTTCACTTACCTGGGAAGCAATATCTCCTCGGATGAAAATGTAGTGGTTCAAATCAAGCAGAGAACTGCAAAGGCAAGTGCTGCTTTTAACAGACTTGAGATTATCTCAAGGGGTATAAACGTCTAGGGGCGACCATATTCGCCATGTACAGAAGCATCAACAATCTTAGCCTAACCTTTATACAAAGGATGATCAAACACAACATTTCCAACCGTGGCTACTTCAAGAGCTACCAAACGTACACTGACAGAAGACGCAGACTAAGCAATTTCAGGTTTTTCTGCTGTCTTTACTGCGGTTTTCTAATGTCTTTACTGTAGCATTCTGATGTCTTTACTGCGGTTTTCTAATGTCTTTACTGTAGCTTTCTAGTGTCTTTACTGCGGTTTTCTAATGTCTTTACTGTAGCTTTCTAGTGTCCTAACTGCGGTTTTCTGCTGTCTTTACGGCGGTTTTCTAATGTCTTTACCGTAGCTTTCTTTTGTCTTTACTGCGGTTTTCTAATATTTTTAGTGCGGTTTTCTAATGTCTTTATAGTGGTTTTCCAAACTTTACTGCGGTTTTCTTATGACTATACAGTGGTTTTCTAATGACTTTATAGGGATTTTCTAATGTCTTTACTGCCATGTTCTAATATCTTTACTGTGGTTTTCTAATGTCTTTACTGCCGTGTTCTAATATCTTTACTGTGGTTTTCTAATGTCTTTACTGTCGTGTTCTAATATCTTTACTGTGGTTTTCTAATGTCTTTACTGTCGTGTTCTAATATCTTTACTGTGGTTTTCTAATGTCTTTACTGCCGTGTTCTAATATCTTTACTGTGGTTTTTCTAATGTCTTTACTGCGGTTTTCTAACTTTTTTTTTTTGTCTTTACTGCGATTTTTCAAACAAAACTTTTCGCACGTTTTCTTTTTTATTATTATCACTGGCATTTTCATTATAAATTACATGTTTGTGACAGTTTATCACACCTTTTATTGTACACTGTTAAAGCTAATTAATTAATAAAATGATAGATGTCTGGAAATATTTATTGAGAAAACTATTTAGAGAATATGGCTGACAATAGTTTTCAATAACTCAGAAACCTTTCCTCAAACGAATAGAAATATTCTGTTAGTCATTGCCAAATACCAAGAAGCCTGATCGTTTATACCATTCGGCAATTACAGTGTAATGATAGTGATGAATTTTCATAAAATTTTTATGATATAATCCAATTTTCTCGTTCCTATTAATTTGTTTTCTTACAGCTGCAAAATTAAAAATTAAAAAATATTTGAAAATTATTGTCTTCTCATGTGTCACAACTGCCTAGTTTTTCTGTTGACATTGTTAAATTCGTGAATTTACCTGTGGTTATAAATGGTTAAATTTATAGTTAAAATACAACATTTCATTATGCGCTATACAAAAACAAACAACAAAAGTTCGTTTTTCTTTTAAACATCAGTGATGCAATACTACATTATAGAAAGGATAATCTAAATACCATGACCACGATACTGCTTTGCAGAAACTAGAAACAATAAATGATCTACATAGTTACAGAAATGGGAAACAAAACATTCGTAATATACTTCTTATTGAAATGACAAATAAAACATCAACAATATTTTCAAATATACATGAGAAATAATAAACTGCGTTAGGGAAATGAGAAACTGATAAATGTAATAATGTTAATAGTCGTAATAATATTGTAATAATAAAAGTGGTTTTTGATCCAATGAAAACCCACCTTAGCGGGAGACATTTCACGAGTTACACCGAAGTTGATTGTGAAGAGAAAATGTGGATTAAAAACGTGAGCCCGCAGTTTTATCCAGCAGGGTTGGGAGGACTGATAAAACGATGGGACACTTAATTGGTAGCAATTATATTGAAAAATAAAGGGGCGATGTATGTGTAAAAACAAACGGTTTTCAAGTTATCGTCTTTAGTGTGTGTGATTTTTTAACAACCATTTGTGACTTACTCATTGACCTACCGTCGTAAGAAATAAATCACCAGCACTTACATACTACTTTAAACACCAGGGCTAACATACGAGGTTGACGAAATGGCATACAATGCACAGGGGATAATATACTGGGATATGGAAATGGAAAAAAAATTACACTAGGAATTATATACTGTAATACAGAAATGGTAAACAGTACACAGGTAATAATGTAATGGATTATAGAAATGGTTACCAGTACACCAAGAAAAATATACTTTATTATAAATGTTGAACATAGAACGCCGATGCACAGATGGTCCCCAAGGCACACAAGTGTGTCCTTTAAACTATCACTCAGTCAACTTTTAAATCGCTAATACACAAGGCCCAAGGCCTTATAGCTGCTAGGCGCTCGCAAGTGGATCCGAAGGTCTTGGGTTCGAAACCGAGCGTTGCCGAAATTTTCTATTTCTTCTAAAAAATGACCTTGACTCTCAGGTCGACCCAGCCTTGAATGGGTAATAGTCAGAATCCTAGGTGCTAAAACGGTCGGCGTGACGCTGGCCCACATCAACCACCACGTGCAAATTGGTGTAGGATGAATCATTGCCAGCATGAATGAAAGGACATTAATGTGATCACTCAATATCTATGTGAGCAACCTCTTTTCTCACATTATAGCATTTTTTAAGAGTCGTGCTGGGTTTGTTTCTTTTCTTTTTTTTTAATGTTTTTTTTTTTTTTTATTTCTATTGATGCATTATATTGAGGTGACTAAATCATCTGATCTTCTGTTTCTCAATGAAACTGGATGCAATCTGCTCTTCACTCAAGATTCTGTGAATATCATGAGCCAAGAAGAAATGAAATACTTACATAATAAACGATCTGAATATCAAGAAAAAACGGATAGTTAACAGCATCTTGTCTTGAAAAAAAAAAATGAGTTACTTTGTTAAATATTTTTCTCCTTCTTCGTTCTTCTTCATGTTCACCGGCTGTAAACTCAGTCGGAAAGTTTTGGTTATTCGTCCACCTCTGGACTTTAGTCTTGTCCCAGAACTTGGGTGTTGCATACAAACCACATATCTGACATTTTTTTTTTGTGTGCAAACTGTTGGTTCCTTGCCTCTCATGCAAATATACTTCGACTTTGAAGCCAATTAGTTGACACTTGCGACATGCTCGTTCGAGAGGCAGTGAATTTATTATTTGTTCCCACACAAAGGGACCCTGGATCCCACAAGGGAACTTTTGCTGTATCAAACATCAGATTAAATTGAAAAGAACATTAGAGGAGAGTATCGTACTGGGCAGCGGTGAAAGGGGAGGGGGGGGGTCAACAAGTACGAAGAGAGCTACAGGGTATAGGAAGTACCTTGGACAGGAAAGGGCGAAGAAGGAAAAGCTGACGAGAGACCGAGTTTCTTTCAGCCAGTTCGTTATGGAAGAATATTATTTCAATATATTTCAACTGCAGCATTTATTTTTTTCTTTGAGACTTCTATAGGATTACAAAATATAATTCCTGTGATTTTGCAAATTTTTATTATTTATTTTACACAAATTTAAACAATATATTTATATTAAACATATATTTATGAGGCGTTTATATGATTATCAATTTATCTAGTGTGATTTAACTCTTTGAGTCCCAGGGGGTTTAGCATCAGAGGCCCAAGGGGTAGTCAAAAGAGATGTAAAATGGGCGCATCTTGCGTTTATTGGGCCTCTAAGTAGGAACCTATGAACGTATGAAGCGTTCCTTGGGACTCAAAAGAGTTAAAACGGGATTGGCATCAAAGGTTTATATAGATTAGGGCCTCTTGTTCTTCTTCCTATCGTTCTGTCGGTGTGGTGTTGAAGTCATGGCATGTGTAATTTCACTCATTTCTTCCACAGATTATCTTCCGTGCTCATGATGTCAAACTGTCGAGAATTTTCTCTCTTTGTCTCCCTCTGCTTCTTATGCCCTCCAGCTTTCTCACCGTCACAGTGTTCTCAAGTTTTCTCCTTCTCATGACATGACTAAGGAATGTTGATTGCTTACTTCTGAAGAGAGCAATCAGTTCTTTTCGTGAGTTCTTTCCTTATCAGGCCTTATCCGGCCTTAGTTCTGTAAAAGAGACAACTAGAGTATACAGTGATGGTGGGAAAGCCAGAAATAAATAAAAAACTGGAAAGAGGAGGGAGAGGTGAGAGAGAGAGAGAGAGAGAGAGAGAGAGAGAGAGAGCCGATGAGAGAAGTTGCTTGGCAGTGTGACATCATGGCATTGAAGATGATCTATGTTGTAAAGGATTGAAAATACAGGCGACAGAAGGCTGTCACTGCCTACCTCACGCAGCACGGATTATAAGAAGAAGCAAAGGTTGCATAAGGATTATACTCTGAAGTTTTCCCACTGATCTAAAATCATTGCAAAATAATGGAAAGGTATAATATACATAAGATAGAAATAAAGAAATATGACAGATCTGTAACGGAATGATGACTTAACTATGTAATAATTAGTAAGTTATTTAAAGCAGTGATTCCCAAACTGTACACCGCTGCGCCCCCGAAGAGCAACGACCTCACAGGGGCGTCGCGAAATATTCGAAGATACAAGAGTTTTATTTTTTTATTTTTTTATTTCTGACATACGAATAGTCATACTTTTACTTAGGTTAGGGCCCGGTGAAAACATTTTAATTACAAAAGGCGCCGCGACTAAGAAAAGTTTGGGAATCACTTGCTTAATGGATTGGCTTGAACGTCCATTTTTGTGACTTTGAAGAGCTATTGCACTTGCTGAGTTGTGGCCCCTGTGTGTTGGCTTCCAGACACAAATTTGACTTCTGATGGACGATTGTACGGTCCTGTGTTTGATAGAATATTATTATTAGTATTTTTATTATTATTATTATTATTATTATTATTATTATTATTATTATTATTATTATTATTATTATGGGCTCCTGTGGCTTAGACGTTGCACAAATGCTTCGCATTTTAGATGTAAACAGTTCGACTGCATTGCTGATGATTTAGCAGCAGACAGCCTTGCGTTGATTTTGACAATGGTGTCGAGATCCAAACGTTCAGGAAGCAGCAACAAACCACTGAGCCTCATAAAAAAATTAAACCGCCAAAAAAAAATATGGGGCTCATTCTGCAAAGTCCTGTAGAGGAGACGCAAATGACTATAATTACCATAAAATTATTCGCAACCTTTGGTTTTTAGGAAGCCGGCATGGTGTAGCGGCTAGACGCTGACTTGCGAATCCTAAGGACTTAGGTTCAGTTCTTTACGGAACCAACATTTTTGTTCAAATATGACCTTGGCTGCCATGTCCACACGCAGCTTTAGATGGGAATCAGATGAAGTACTGACAAGTAAATGGGTCAATCGTGAGGCTGAACACATCACCGATTGGTCTATAGGAATAAACGCCACAGGGGAGCATGTACAGCATGGATCTACCAATCGTCAGTAGAAGTAATCTCTCGTCGACAAACGTTTCGGCCCACGAGCTCCTAGACGTTTTCAGAGAGTGGGCCCACCTGAGTTCATATAGCTCGGGGTTGGTTTCCCTGCTGCACGAAATTACCGGATGGTGTTCGAATAGGGACAAGACGACTTGGTGATTTGCAGAAGGTACTGTGAGATAAGAAGTCGTCGCGGTAGCATAATTAGAGCAGTCTGCGTACCTGGACGACCGAGCGACAAGCTTACGTTTGGTATACCGGACACATGTTAGACTTTTGTTAGCAGGTAGCAGAGGAACACTGGCAGACAATTCGGACACGATGGACATTCAATGGATGAGAATCTCTTTTCCACTAGACACCCGGACCAGCTCACAGAGTCCCGTCCCCTACGTTGTTCCGTTGCGTCCAAAGCCAGCTCGAGGCCCTCTCAGCAACCTCGCCTAGCCATTTAAGTGTCCGTTTCCGTTCATTTATGTAAATGTAATTAAAGCCTTATTTGATTGAAAGCCTGAAGGAGTGGAAAGGGATCTTTCACCTCCTCCATTTCACGCCAGTGACGAATCGGACATATAGTTCCGTTGCTTTGCTCACGGATTGGGGGGGGGAGGGGGGGGGGGAGATTTCGTCACGTTTAACCAGCATCCTTGAAGGATGAGCTTTGGGTTATAATTATGACAGCCCATGTTATCTTTGTGTCGCCCCTCCCCCCTCCCTTATGTAATCTATTATACAGACAGGAACCAGATACCTGTAAGTAGTCCCATTTGTCGCGCGTGCCAATAATGCAGTCTTGTAGTTTGACCGCCGCTCCTTCCTTGGGATCAGGGACCACAACACACTGGAGCGATGTCCTCAACAGCTTGTCGGTAGTCAAGGAGAACGCCTTGCATGACATAGAGATAGTGTCACAAGTTACAGCAAATAATGTTTACATCTTCTTTCTCTTCTTGGCGTTTATCAACTGTAAACACCGGTGGAAAGGTGGTGGCCGAACTGTAACAAGTGCAGGGTTCTCATCCGGCAGAGCTAGGTTCCAATCATCGCTCAGTATGGCTGGGGGCAAATGGAAGGGGTGAGAGGAGGAAAGTGGTTTCTGTTGGGGGAAAAAATATACAACCCCGACCTCCACTAGCCATGCGGCTCAAATCCTCAGTCTAAAAGAATTCCACCCCCACCCCTACCCTTTCCACCCCACCCACGCCAACACCGTAAAAGTGGTTAACACGGGTAGTGATGACAGGGAGTTTTATGGGGATGGTGGGGGGAGGAAGGGGGGGGGGAGCGGATAGTTATTTATATCAACATGATCTTTCCTGATTCCCGTTGTAGGCTCTGTGTGATGTTGACGACATCAGCCATGGAGACCCAGTTGGTCTCTATATATATATATATGTGTGTGTGTGTGTGTGTGTGTGTGTGTGTGTGTGTGTGTGTGGCTGGCATCATATGTGCCACATGAGTGGAAAGTGTCATTTTCTGACCTTATCTTTACATTTTAGACTGGTTCGATCTGGGAGCCGAGATTGGTTACACAAAATCCGACTGGATGCTGATTCCAAACCAAAAACATTCATATCGACAAGTTCATAGCCAAAGATTTAACAAACATATGCTCGAGATGAACAGGGGCCAAAACATAGTAAAGTACAACAAGGAGGAATTCGTAAGAGAACGTCACGTACCAGTCGAAATACACGGCCCCAGACGTCAGTTCTTTGAAAACGCATGATGAGCTCAGTGAAGCCCTTACAACTTTGGAAGTTAAGAGAAAAACGAGAGTTCTAAGGCACGCCCAAACAGACGAGGTAGCCACTAGCTCTGACCCACCCTGCCCATTCGAGGGCCACATAACACAAACCACCCCTCCCCCTCTTCTACCAAAAGAACCCAGCAGGCGAACCTGCCTGACCTTGACATGATGAAGCCAGCAGCCAATCGGAACCAAATCAGAACCAGCCAAGCCATAATGACAGCAGCCCAAACCTGCTCAATGGAACGAAAAAATTTACTTCCGTAAAACCAGCCATGCATGATTGTACGACCTCCAGAATTACTCCCACCCATACACCATCTAGGCCGACGCAGCCAAATCCTAATAGTCCTTATCAGGACTATCAGATGTCCCCTCCCAATACAGTCAGCGTAGCAGAAATTCAAGGAAACCACAACAAGACATGAACCCACGTCGCAAGAAAAGAAAAAACACCAAAACCACAGGAATCCAAGGACGCAATTTAAACCACGCCCTCGTCGTAGGTTATAGCAGTCCGAGTTATTTTTTTTTTTTATTTTTTTTTTAAATTCTCAAATTATGTATCATGGGGCACTCATTAAAAGACAGAATGATGCTAAGCAATTCGAGAATTGAAAGCTATAGTTACCATTTCGTAAACTTAAACCTGCCCACTCCGAACAACGACAGAACTTTGCTGCAGGAACATTTGTACTAAGACGCATGACTGAGATCGACAAACAAGCGTCTCACCACTACAGATTTCCTTATACGAGTTTGCTTTAAATAGCTCCAAGAAACAGTCGACTCCTGTTTGAATTAGTAGTTGCAACATGAAGATTGTTGTAATATAAGATGATAGTGACTTTAACGAAATGACATCACAGATATGACGCACACATTTATTCTAGAACAAAAGTTACAGAAATTAATTTGCGTCTTGTTCACGTAGCCTCGTCTTTGTTGAAAATATCCTTGGTTGAGCAATGCACAATGTCAAGTTTCCTTGAGAAGTCGTCCTCAGAGACAAGATTTCTTCATATAACATAAGGTGATGCCGCAAAAAAGAAATGGCAAGATGTTGAGTTGCACAAGCCTTTCCAAGAAAGCCGTGTTAGTGTTAATGATGATAAACGTTGTGGGCTACCCTTACGGATTACGTTATAAACAATGAAAACGTTGAGCGTGTTCAGAACACTGTACAAGCTGAAAGAAGACTTAAAGCCAAAACAATTGCCTCAGAAGTTGAAACATCAGTTGGAGTTTCTTTAGTATTCCCCGCGACCTATCATCAATTGCTGAAAAGTGTGTCAAAGAACGAGTTCCAGTATTGTCCCCAACATCTGTATGAACATTGGCAAAAAGTGTCAAAGATTAAGCAAAATACAACTCACTTGTAGAAGACCTACCTGACTTGAGATCTTCTCGGTACAAGGTGATAGATAGAGCTGACGTAGGTCTTGAAACAAGTAATGATTATTATCCAAACACAATGGATGGGCGTCATTGGCAACCTGAAAGACAACAGAAGGTTTGTTGTAAAAGCTGACCAAGGTCCCTGTTCTGGTTGTTGGAGAGTGTATTCCAATTGAACGGTCTTTTATTTTGAGTAGGGGTGCTGTCAGAAAGAGAATATGGGCGTCTGGGGAGGTGGAGGGGATGGAAGATGATTTGAGGGGAGTGGGGAGGATGTGCACGACCCCTTTATAGCTTTCTAGGCAAGAGAGGTGGCCTCAGGTAGACATGTGCATTGTTAAAGAGTGCAATGTTAATAATAATAATAATGTATTATATGGCAATAAGTAAAATATGCTAGACATAATATACAATTTATAAATAAATACTATAAGTTTTTTTAAAAAAGCAGAAAGAAAACGTCCATGCACGGTTGGATACAAAAAAAGGGGGAGGGGGAGCAACAGTTAGCTGCCTTGATAACTGGTCTAAACTCTCCGTTCCCCCTCATACCACCCCCCCCCCCCCCCCCCCACCCCAACCCCCTCCCCTCAAAAAAAATTTGGAAGGGAAAATCGTTGTGCCTGGACGTACAGGTTCCGTCTAATGGGTCGTTGTGAATCATTGTTCCTGGACGTACAGGTTCCATCAAATGGGTCGTTAGTAGGACTGTACCGAATATTCACTTCGTATTCGCTTTGGAGCCGGCCAAATACTTGCGGTCGGGCCGAATACGAATAGTGGTTATCTTACACCCGTTTCTGCATACACTGCAATGGACAGAAATAACTCTTTCATTAACACAATAGTTGCTGTTGCCAAAGTCTGTCATAGTGGGGGAAACTGCGACCCGGTTTCTTGGTACAGCAGCTGGCAAGGTCTTTGCTTGCTAACTCGATCGAGGCATTACAGCAGAGGTTCTCAAATTGGGTGCGTATGTCGGGGGTGCCACGGCGAAAATCAAGAAAAGGGCTATAAATTGTGGCATTATTAAAGAAGGCATATAGATACTTAAAAATTAAAATATTAAATTGTCTTTCCTCGCTACTGTCGTGCTAAAAATTGTCTTTGTATTTATCTCGAGGCGCGACCAATCCTCCGTCTGTATTCGTGAAAGTGCAGCGGATAAGTAACGTTATGATTACATTTAGGCTGACATTTTAAAGTGGAAAATGTGGTCGGTGCAATAGTAACTGTTAGCCTCGTCAAGTAAACACTTATATTTAAAGGCAATGCGTTGTGAGTCCTGGACAGTCGGTAGACATGGTAAACAATGTTTTGAGGCATCAGAGATGTGGTTTTACAGAACAATGCTTAAAATATCTTGGACAGCCAAGGAAAAAAATAACCAAGATGTTTTGAAAGAGGCGGAAGCCCGAAGACAACTAATCACAGACATCGGAAGGAGACAGTCATAATTTTTTAGCCATGTTATGAGAAGAGGGAAAATGGAACGTGTGGTGACCACTGGAAAGATATGTGGAAGAAGAAATAGAGGAAGACAACCAATGAAGATTCTTGGCAGTTTTGTTGCGTGGCATGGAGGTGTGTCAGCACACGAACTAATACATGCTGCAGGAGATCACCGATTGTGGCGAGGCATGATCGCACGTCAATCGGCAAGGCACCTGATGACGATGATAAACTATTCGTATTCGGCCGAATAGTTAGTCCCGCGATTCATATTCGGCCGAATAGTGAAAATCACTATTCGTTACAGCCCTTGTCGTTACTGTATCATTGTGTCTGGACGCACAGGTTCTATCAAGTGGGTCGTTAGTGTATCATTGTGCCTGGACGCACAGGTTCTGTCAAGTGGGTCGTTAGTGTATCATTGTGTCTGGACGTACAGGTTCTGTCAAGAGGGTCGTTAGTGTATCATTGTGTCTGACGTACAGGTTCTGTCAAGTGGGTCGTTAGTGAATCATTGTGTCTGGACGTTCAGGCTAGGTCAAATAGGTCGTTAGTGTACTGGCTTAGCTAAATTGTCGTGGAGTTGAATTCATTTTTTTTTTTATTTACCTTTTTATCCAGTTTGCCACATAGGGTTCAGTCAACTTTATAAAGCAAATATTTGAAGACTGATAAAGAAAGCCATAAGGGGAGACAAGTGTTTATGTACCGGTAATAATAATTTGTGCTCCACCTTTTTAGGGACATGAGGGCAGTTCAGGGGGTGATAGCTTCGTTTTAAAGATTTGTAGTACGGTGAAACGGGTCAGGGGACAGTAGATTTTCAGTTTCCCTGTTCTTTTCTCTTTTAATTAAATTCCATTCCATTCTAGGGGGGGGGGGGGGGGGAATAATCAAACACGCTCAATCTGCTGTTGGCAGTACGTTTGAGATCCCTGATAAAATCTAAAACCATAGCAAGGACGCCCGAACTTAGGGAATTAGACACCTTGAGCCTACCCCCATTCCATGGGATAGGTGACGATCACCGATTTCCCTTTTCCCCTCATGGGATGGGTGACCATTCATCAGATCCATCAGATTAGTGACGTGGGGGGGGGGGGGGGGAAGCTGCTAAATCATGTATAGAAGGCCTCTTGTTATGAATTTGTTAAAATATATTGTAATATTTGCAAAATATAAACATAGTTTTGATAGATTATGTATGAAGTTCGGCACATTATAATTACTATTTCGTACTAAACCAACTAGGCCTTTTGACCTACCAAGAAAATCTGTAAGGAAAACTGCCATTTTCCCAAAAATGTTTACTTTGTGACAGCGCTCCTCGTCCCTAGTGTCATATTGTACTTAATGGGTAAAATTAAAGGACGCGTTTTTCATGTCTTCCGGCGTATTAGGTATAAAGCTATATCAGTATTTCATAGATCAATCTGCACTTGATGTGTGACGTGGCCAACACTACACCTGTTATCTTCACCTTCCAAGACTTTACCTGGTACCTATTTTAGGCTGGGTCGACCAGCGAGCCAATTGACCTTCCGCTAGGATCTAAACCCCCCGATCTTCGGATCCACAGGTGAGCATCAAGCTGCTACCCCACAGTGGCTCCCATTTGTGATTAATTATTTCACATTTTCATTTGGGTAGACAGAGAAAAGAAGTCATCATGTCAATACCTGACTGACTTTCTACCCCACCAGGACATCACACAAGCGATAAACACCCGATGACACAACGTGCCACCATATGGGTGAGGATCACCGTGGAGAGGTCCCAGAAACCGCGTTCAGCCTTTAGGCCATATTTATGGCCAGGCTATATTGCAGCCCCTGGCAAAAGCCAGAGTAGGGCTTCAAATCACGAAAAATTTTCCTCCTAATAAAAAAGGTAAGTAAAACTAATTCACGTCAAAACCTACCATTCCCCAAACTGTCATGTTTTCATCTGGGACGTTCAGCTCGGGCCATACATTTTGTAGATACCATTTGAATTCTTTACACCTCAGCTTGGACTTGAGTTCGAGACGACTGCCGATGTCTCCAATGTCTAAAGTCTGAACAATAGATGGGAAATTATGAAGTTAGGACGACAAAGTTATCTTCGGTGACAAGATGAACAATGTATCAAGAGAGACAGTGTGACTTATATATTTTAGCGGAAAGCATTAGTTTTTTGCGCGTCATTATATGTTGATGTTACTGAAGTAAAGCACATGAAGAGAAGTAAGACGTTTGTGAGAACCAAGTGATAACTGTGAATCTGCAACAATGACCAGACTGCAAGAACAACATGTTAAAAGGTGTGTGGCCAGACAATAGCACTATGCAAGAAGATATAAAAGAATAAGAAACCGACACAGAACTGGTGTTGTCGGTCGCTTTACGCTGCGGGATGTATTAAAGGGTGGATCCGAGCACTTATGGACTGAATGGTTCAGTGTGCAGTGAGGATAATCTGTCGACTAACTAACTAACTAACTAACTAACTAACTAACTAACTAACTAACTAACTAACTAACTAACTAACTAACTAACTAACTAACTAACATGCCAAGATGCATGGAGACATACCAGGCAATAGATATTGCAGTGTTGTTTGTGTCAGCATTATTTAACATGACTGCTGTAAAACATTGTTTTGAATAAGGAAGTATACATTTAAGTCACCATCATCACTTTGATCAGTTTTGAATTCGTAAGCATCTGTCAGTCCTACGGTTTATGTTTTTAGAATAGCGTCTGATACGACTGTCCTATGAGAAAGTGGTAGGCTCTGCCATTTAGTTAACATATAAACTATGATACTTCGATACATTGCAAAGGTCCTTATAATGTAGGTTTGGTCTTTTCTGCAGATCTTTTCCCTGTTTCAAGTTCACCATAAGGAGATTCTTTTCTATGCGACAGTGCTGAATACGGAGGATATTTCACAACCAGCGCAGGCGTTATTGTTTCAATGGAAAGTGCATTGTGTATCTTTGCGTTTTTTTTTTTTTTTAGTATACATTCGTTGGAGACAAAGTCTCGTTACGATAGCCAAGCATGCATCTCATGCAACAGTGACCATAATATCTCAAGCTGAAAACACGACATCCCACCATAATTTTGGGCTGAAAGCTGGACATGTCACTAATTTATTCAGTTGAAAACTGGGCATTCCAAGTAAGAAAGTTTGTTCTCTCTGCCCTACACTTTGTTTTCTAGGTAACCATGGTGAACATCTTGCTGGTTGAAAATCGTGTTAAAAGCCACGCAATTGCCGGCAAGATATAATTGAAACAGTATGTTCTTTAACTGCTATATAAGAAATTAAAAAAAAAAAATTAAAAAAACATGCTCCAATGCAAATCGTCATAAACCTATTTCAAGCATTAAAAGTATCTAAAACTAATAAATCTTCTGTGTTGTCTACAGACATAACTTTAAATGCATGTTGTTCTCTCTAGCTTATTCCTAGACTTTTATTAAACTGGTTGAGTATCGAAGAGGTGCTCGGGACACACCGAAGAGACGGTGAAAAAGGGACGTATTGTCACCTGCTCATACAGCACGTGGAACGTATTCAGTCTGTTTTATTCAAAAAAGTAAAGTAAAGATCCATGTTCACGTCTTTAGGCGCATCGAGCATATGGGAAGAGCACCCAATAATGTTACAGACCAATCGGCATTGGGCGGGTAATGTGGTCAGCATTACGCCGGCCGTCTTTACTTCCCCATGACATCCATCCTGGTACCCATTTGAGACTGGGTCGACCTGCGACGCCCCATACCACAATAAAAATCCACGCAGCCAACAGAGGGTTTCGATCGCGGTACGTTGGAATTACAAGTCAGACTCGCAACGCCTAAGCCACGAACGCCGCTCTGTTTTATTCAAGAGAACACATAACCCCAGATTCGATCAGTTTAAAGTAAAGATAGAGTTATATTTCTAGAAGACACTGCCATTGTAGTATCAAGAGCACTATGCGTGTGGCCAAAGAATAATAAGGAACCAACACAGAACTGGAGTCGTGGGCAGCTTTACACTGCAGGCTTTACCAAGGAGGGGATCCGACTAGTTATGGACTGAATGTGTTATGACGATAATCTGTCGACTAACTAACTAACTTAACTAACTAAGTAACTAACTAAGTAACTAACTAACTAACTAACTAACTATTGTATTATGGCATAATAGCCTTCACGCATTTTATGCCACTGCAAATAAGTGTTTTTGGTTGCCACTTATTTTCCATTCTAGGTTTTCACTTCTGGAAATTATACGATACCTATTTTCATGAAGCTAGGATAAATTGCGGTGCAATACAGTCGATCCTCTTAACTGATTCAACTGCCCTTAGACCATCTTTTCATATTTCCCACCCCTGTATCTGTTTTCTTTTTGCTCGCCAACAATAAGCATGTCCCTACATGATTGTTTTTATAGGAGTATTATGTCTTGCACCCCTTAATACAAAACATGCTGTCAACATGCAATAACTTTAGGTCGTGAGTGCAGAGACTGGCCGGTTGGAGCTGCAGAATCAGATGTTTAATAAGTGATTCACGACAATTCGAGCCAGGTGATGGGATTATCTATACAGGTGGCTCTGTGTTAAAGGGGTAGACGAAGTGCTTGGGAGTTCGTAGCAAAGGCGAAAGGAAGTCGCTTAGTGCAGCTATGCCTTGCATATGATATGAATGGAGGTGGAGGCAGTCTCTGCTGCCTTCTGCTGGCTTGAGAATCAGCTATACACACAGGCCATGATTTAACAGACAGAAAAGTGAAGACTGGCATGCTTCGTGCAAAGTCCTGGGTAGTAAGCATCATTTTAATATTTTCTCTAGGTTATGCCGGTGTATTGGGAAATGAGCAGGCAGATAGAGTGGCCATCTCTGCACCACTTGGTGGTAAACTGATGTATGACAAGCTAGATATTGTGAAGACCCTTTGGAAATGATTGAACAGGGCGAAGGCACAGAGAGATCATTACAGCCTGAGGAAAATGGCACTGCGAGGAGTTACCAGGGGATCTGGCAGACGCTCAACACTCAGGGAAATGATGAAACGGTTATACAATCAGACGGTTACTGGTGTCATCGGAATTAAAACTCTTCGCTTGTTGCTGAAAATGGGAACGGAGCACTTATGGAAGTGTCTCGAGTGCTGTGATGTCAATTCTCAATTCAACATTCTACACGCCGTAGGGAGCTCCCTGGTCTGGCCAGTCATCATTCCATATGGAACGCTGCACTGCTGTATCAGCGAAAGACGTGTCACACAGCAGCCTTCAGAGGGGACAGTGTCTTTATGATTTAAAAACAACTGATATGAAGAACAAATATAAGAAGATTGCTTGCTGACTAACCAGAATCCTGTCTTGACTCGAGATGGAACTTGACTGTCAAAAACACTTGTCATGATAACACTGCTCCACTGCGCTATCTATTGTGCCTTCTCGTAGTGCCGTTATACGTCAAATAGGAGGGCTTGTTAGCTAGTTATTCATTCCTTTCTATCCTGTGTAATTCTGTTCATGTCTTTGATATAATCTAGTATAAAACCTTTGGGCCTCCATGAACAGCTGTCGTCTTATGGAAACTTTTGGGTGTCACATTTTTTCCTCATTTTAGTTCTATCCCATTTAAGCGCACTTTAATGAATTCTCGGTCTTCTTCTCATTATGTCCGCAATATATTCTTTTCCGGTTTTTCCTATATCTGTTGTTATAAGATAATTTATATCTTTCTTATTTGTTTGTTTGAAATTTATAAACGTAATTCGTTAAAATCAATTTCAAATGGGATACATTTCTAATTGAAAAACAAGTGTTTACCCTCATATCAGGAAACTCGGTGTATATGAACCGAGAATAGTTGCCCATCCAAACACTGACTGCTCGTTTGTAGTTGAAATGTTCAATTTTACCGCGGCCACCAGGAAACGAGTAGGGCTGGCCTCGAGGAACATGCCCAGTCCTAGAGCAAGGAACATGCAGGAGGCGTCCACCACAGAGCCACACCTGCAGATGAAAAATGTGTATTAGTGGGCGATGGTGTATGTCAGGTAGCTTTTAGGGCCTGTTCAGGTGGAGACATCTTCAAATCTGATAAAAGAGGTAGTCTGCCACCTTTTCAAGGTCTTGCGCCCCTTGAGTACATACATGGCAAGGGACACTCTATGCCAAACATAACAATATGTGATTAAAAAGCAGGAAGAGCGGCTACCACATGCCAGAGACCCGTGTTCGACTCTCCCCCCCCCCCTCTTCCCCTGCCCCCACCCCCCCCCCCCCCCCCAATCCACATTCAAGTTGATAAAATGAAAATCAAACGAACGGAAACATGTAAGTAGTAGTAAATTTTACCCCACTAGGACATCACTGTAATAAGTCGAGATTCAACTTGTGATAAATCGAGACCACTTGAAGTTACGCTTTCAAAACTATCTTGAAAGGAACCCTTGGTTACACCGTTCTAGGGTTTGACAACACAAAACGCCGCTCAGCTTCGTTATACATTCTGTCAGTTTATTTGGTCCATTTATATCACATGTTCAAACATTATTCACACTTGATCACTCGCAACACATTCGAAACATTAAACCATTTGCCGACATAGAGACGACATCTCAAATACTACAACCGTCTTCTCTGACTTCTGATGATCGACTGACCACGAGGCTAGCTCGGGGTTTCCCTCGCTTCCTCGACTAGGCACAAGTATCTCGTGCTGTCCCTTGTTGCACGGACTTTCTGCTTGCCACTATGTAATCGTGAAGACCATGCACAGCACCTCATCACAATCACACAAGCGATAAAAACCCGACTACACAAAGTGCCACCATGCGAATAAGGATCACCCGTAGAGAGGTCCCAGAAACCGCGTTGAGCTATTAGGTCATGTTCATAGCCGAGCTATATTGCGGCCCCTGGCAAGAGCCAGGGTGGGGCTTCAAAGTAACGAAACATTGCATCCCACAAGGAGACGACCAGATTTCTAATATTTAAAAAAATAAATTAAAACAAATACATTTAAGTACGTGGGCAGCAAACTTCAACTGCTCCAACATGCTGAAAGAAAATATATTTACAATGTCCAATAATTAAGAAAGATACTGATTCCAAAAAATTTTTTTTTCTTTAATCAACAGTCGAGGATATAACCTGTATTTTATTCAAAGTCAGACCCTTATGCATTGATACAGCGATTGGCACGATCTAACAAACACTGGAACAACCTCTGTAGTTTTTCTGTTGTAATGGCCGTTAAAGTCGATGTTACGGCCCCATGGATGTCCTCAATATCGTCAAAGAGGCGTCCTTTCAATGGTAACTTTAGTTTTGGGAATAGAAAATACTCGCGGGGAGCTAATCTGGGGAATAGGGTGGATTTCTGAGAAAACAAATTTGTTTTGGGGCCAAACAATCCTGTTCACCTACCGCCCTGTGAACTGGTGCATTGTCGTGAAGAAGGAAATAAAAACTGCCAGGTGTTGAGTACTCGGGTCGGATTCGTTGAATCCTTTTCAATAGACATTTCACAATACTTACATAAACTGTTGCTGTGTCAGTCTGTCCCTCTTGATAAACTATGTGTGAAAAGTTTCTTTTCTGTCATTGAAGCACACCCATTTTGTCATCACCTTCGATTTTAAAGACATTTTTATTTTTATTTTGGTGTTGATGATGATGACTTTCACTGAGCACTTTGGTTTTTAGCTTTGGGATCATAGAGGAAAGTCCATGTTTAATATTCTGTAACAATCACATTTGAGAAATGTTTCTTTCTTCACACGTTTTGATGCATCTTATGCGTACTCAACAACACGCTGATGTTTTTGGTCATCAGACAAGGTACAAACCTGCAAGCAACATTTTTTCCTTGCCCAAATCTTCCACTAAAATTTTACGAATGGTCTATATATGAAAACCAAAATCAACTGCCATCATCCTCACAGTCAAACAACGATTCCCTTTTATCCGTTTTCTTACTTACGAGGAACAGAAATTGGGTGTCCAGGTCTAGTTACATTAATCCACACCCATTTTTCATTCATGAATACCACCTGAAAATCAGTGCAGGATAAAAAAACAATTATCTCCATAAACTTGTAGTGTCAACTCAACCGTCTTAGTGCCTCTTTTTCCGAGTTTTAAACAGAATTTAATATTAGCATTTGTCGATGCCGATTACGTAACAATGCACCCATGACTAGGTCAACAAAATGGCTGTTTCTTGTCTGTTAACCGGGCGGCGATTAAAAAATTGCCAGATCACAGATGAAGATTACCTCTTTAGGTTCCATGCTTTGCTTTATAGATAACACTTTTGTCTTGGCCATAATATAATTCTTTAATTGTCGGACCTTTTATTTACCTTTCAGTATATTATTATTATTATGGAAAAGATAATGTTAACAGATATTATTTTTACGCACTTTAACAATATGCAGGCACATTAAGGTCTCTTCCTCTCAGAAAAATTGAAAGGTGGCCGAAGCACCCATTTGCTCGAGGTACCCCAAGCCCTCAATTTTTCCACTGTGTCTCTGCCCCTGCAGATTTTGTATAATATTTCAATACTTCTTTTTCTGACACTAAATGGCGAAAGATTATTATACAAATTATACTCTGTTGCAAACGTCGTGCTAAAACACTTTAAAATGTCTCAGTTTTCCACGTCCTTGTGATTTTATAGTTTACAGTTGTACCAGTGGTACAGTTTTCATAAAGCGGCGAATTTATTTGATCCTTGTCGGACTAATAATTTGTGTACCCATTAAGAAAGAGAATAGGGGCTTTTGAGCTGAAATGCTATAGAAAGATTCTCAGAATATCTTGGACAAAGACGATGAGAAATATTGACATCTTAAAAGATCTGAACATCAAGAAAGATTGGCTAATAAACAGCATCCTTTCTCGAAAGCTGAAATATTTTGGTCATATCAAGCGCCACGACCGATTGGAAAATATTATAGCAGAAGGCATGGTACCAGGAAGGAGGGGCAGAGGCCGACCGACACGAAGATGGGCACAGGATATAAGTGACTCTTTGAGTGTGAAAGTTCATGAGGCGGGAGAACTGGCAAGAGACCGAGTTTCTTACAGGCAGACTGTGATGAGAGCGACGTTCTGTAAAGGACCTGCTACATGATAACGATGACCCATTTAAAAAAAAATGAATTTTCAGTAACTGACACAATGCAGATTAATCTCTCTCTCGCAGCTTTCAACCTGTGTCATAATTGTCTCCAAAGTATACATAACTTAATCATTGACCCGTTAAGGTCGAGGAGGTGTATTGATGGAAGCACTAGCACATAAAAACCGCTATCTTTCTTTGTCTTCGGCTTGATGAATAAGTGAATGATTACTGACTGTCTATTTCTTATTAGCTCATTAAGGTGTATACAAGCAGGCTTTCAGAACTTGAATCACCAGGTGTTGCAAGAATACTGACATTTGCGATGATGTTCTTGCATAAAGGCAGGGGAGAGATAGGCGACTGAGAGCTCGCGAGCTACAGGCAACAGTAGACAGTGACTGACTGGTATGCAGGAACTCGGAAAAGGCAGCTGTTTTGCGGTTGCTCTTTGAACAATAGAATTGTGAAAGCTAACACTCTAGTCCTCACAGTTAATAACAGTAACATCAGAAGAGACAGCAACCTAAGGTACCTGGGTATCATTTTTCAATAGAAGCCTGTCCTTCAGGGATCATGTGGAGACAGTTGCGGTGAAATGCCAAAAAGGATTCATTGCTCTCAATATTATGGCAGCAATGGACATGGAACAAAGAAGACTGTTCACAATGTTCCAGCATGTGATCCTGTCGGTGATAGATTATGGACTTTGCATGCTTACTATATCAAAGAGTCAGCTGATGAAACATGAATGGATACAGAATGAAGCCATGCGGTTAATTCTATGATGTACAAGAGATCCACCAGTAGTGTGTATGCGATATACACTTGTACTGCCTACTATTGTAGATAGGCTCAAAGTTCTACATGCAAAAACATATCTCAGAATAGCTGCGGACAAGAAGCATCCTCCTGCATAAAGCCCTGGATAGAGCTAAGTGTCACAGACTGAAAAAAGGAAAGTCTTAGTTGGCAAGCTTAAGATACAATTGGACATGTGTGCAGACTTGATAAATTTAGGCGAGAAAAGGAGTGGGTCAAAGTGTCCGATCAGGTTTCTGACTTGTGAAGGGTACTAATCACTTTTGGACGTGAGTACAGGAATTGGCCAGCTGGCGCTGCAGAATCTGACGTTCAACAAATTATTCATGACAATTCCTGCCTAAATGATGTGATTTAAAATACAGATGGCTCTGTTTTGAGGGGCAGACGATGTCATGTGGGTTCATGACGAAGGCGAATGAGGCGTCTCTTGGTGCAACAAAGCCTCGCAAATGATATTACAACGTCTAGTTTGCGAATGGAGGTGCAGGCTTGAGAATCATCTGTACATACATGCCGTCATTGTAACTGACTCACAGAGCATGTTGAGAAAGGTGGAGACAGACATGCTGCGTGCAGAGTGGCAAGCATCACTTCAAATCTTGGTAATCTGGTAATCCTAGTTTCAGCTTCATAGCAAACGGGTCACCCCACAGATGCTCTCCTTCTGTGCCAACAAAAAAAAAACGCAGCTCACAGTGTCACGCCATGCACTCAACTCAGAAGCTGGGCGACGAAACTACTCTTCAAAGGTCCTGAGTAGTTAGCATCCTTTGGATATTTTCTTGAGGTCATGCTGGTGTGTTGGGAAATGAGCAGAGATAGATAGACTGGCCGATTCTGAACCATTTGATGGTGAACTTATGTATGACAAGCTTTATGTTGTGAGGGCTCCGTTTGTAAACAGTGCCGAGGAACAGATAGATCATTACGGTTTGAGGAGAATGGCACTGCGAGGATGTACAAGAGGATCTGGCCGACGCTCGACACTCAGGGGATAGCCTAGACGGATATACAATCAGATAGTTACTGGTACCATCGGAATTTTAACTCTTCGCTTGCTGCTGAAGATGGGGACAAAGCGCTTATCGGGGTGTCCCGAGTTCTGTGATTCTCAGTTCAACATTCAACATTCATTTCTCAATGTTGTCATTCTAAGTTCTCCTTTTGCCCTCCTTTACTTCGACTAACAAACCCCCCACCCACCCCTCCCCTTTTCCCCCCGAAGCAAAGCCTTTTTGCAATCGAATCATGTCTCACTACGTGCCCAAGCCAAGCTACCTTGCGACGTATCACCACTGAAGAGAGAGGCTCTTGGTGTTCCGCACATATGTATATTTCGTCTCTGCCATATTTATTAATGTTGTGTTCTAAATAATTTAATCATAGCCATACCCTTATAGGATGAAATTTTTCGGCGTTTTTTAAGCCCTTCCCTGGCTCTTGCCAGGGGCCGCAATATAGCCAGGCAATTATAATGGCCTAATGGCTGAACGCGGTTTCTGGAAACGAGTGAACCTTTCATCCACATGGTGGCACTTTGTGTCATCGGGTGTTTATCGCTTGTGTGATGTCCTGGTGGGGTGAAAATACTACTATTACTACTACTACTACTACTACTACTACTACTACTACTACTACTACTACTACTACTACTACTACTACTACTACTACTACTACTACTACTACTACTACTACTACCCTAAATAACTAATTCATGCAGCATTTTCATTCGAAAGCCTGAATAATTCTTTTCATTTATACAGTGAGAGACCAACTCTCACACTCATAGAAAAAAAATTGTGATTTGTGAAATTCAGTGATTTGTAAATATTGACCTTGACGGCGATGCTGATTTTGTTCTTCCACATGGTATTCAGCTGAGACCTTGCGGCTTTACCATATCTTGTCTTGATCTCTTTAGTACAGCCTCCATCATTTCATATGTAGGAGCCAAGATTTTTAAAGGTTTCAACTTTTTTTAGTCCCGCCCTCCTACCTTTTTTTTTTTTTTTTATGTTGGTAGGTCAAAATTATGTGTGAGCTCAGATAACTGAGGGTCTCTAGTAATTAGCCATTTGTCTCGCGTTCTGAAAGTCGTGTGTTCTATTTTAGGCTGCATCGTATGATGAAAGAGTATATATGTCACAGATATTCGCAGAAGCTAACGGGATTTGTGCTTTGGGTGACGATCTGGGCAGGCCACTAGCCGCTCTATAGGCTCTATAGGCAGAGACTGGAGCCGTGATTTAAGAAACCAGTTGCAATAGGATTGATTTCTTTCTTTAAAATCTTTTGGTGCGAAATTCCTGGCTTGGTTAAAGACATTTCCAGTGCAGCTGCAACCCCAATACAGTTAATGACATCCCATTCTGGGGTAATGCATTATTGATTGTTAGCCAGCATAACTTACCCGCCAAGACATTTCTAGGTTTTCTCCACCCCAGACTGTCATCCCCTCGTCATAGCCGCCGAGCTCAAAGAAATACTCTTTTTGTATGGCAAATGCAGTACCAACCATAGTTACACCTCTGCCAAAAAAGTCAATGCATTATACAATATGGACTTTTAAAATTAAAAATTCGCTTTGGTAAATTGTATAAGGGATAACCTCATTGGAAAAGTAGCTAAACTCTTACCATGGATGGAATCCGCATCGAGACGTATTTATAATTGTCCTAGAGTTCTCATCTGGATCTAGTTAGTCTCGTGTCATTTTCAGGACCTTGCAGAACTTACTCATTGCAGGGCTGTCAAAATTAGCACTTTCGTGCACATTTGGTACAGTGTGGCCTGTGTTAAGCAATGTGTACGTTTGGTAGCACGCTCGATGTTTCGGTACTTTATATAAATTGTTCATCAATATTCAAAATCTGCATCGTACGGCGTTATCGAAGGCAGACCGACGACATTTATGCAGTTGGTCATGACATTTGTGCAGCTTTGTTAAAGAAGAAGATAATACACAAATTTAAAAAAAATGGAGGGAACTAATAAGTAAGTAAATTGTACCCACACAGGACATAACACACACAGAGGGACAAACATCCGGTGACACAAAGTGCCACCATGCGGATGTGGATCAACAGTGGAGAGGTTCCAGAAACCGCGTTCAACCGTCAGGGAATTGCAGTTCCCGGCGAAAGCCAGGTTGAGGCTTCAAAATAACGAAGAATTGCGTCCCACACGAGGACGATAAAAAGTTTTCGTTTTTGGGAACTAATAACTGCAAGGTTAACTAAATATGCTTTAAAAAATAGGAATATATTGGTTTACAATTTCAGATGAATGTTTTATAAAATCAAAGTTATTGTCCCGACATTAGTTGTACAAAATAGAAAACATAACAACCCTTAAACTACAGAGCACAAGATAAAGTTTTTCGCAATGAGTAATTAAAGAAAAATTTTTAACTCAATCAGTATGTGTTTGTCATTCCCCTCTCAACATTGGGTTTATGGTACTAAAAGAAACGTAGAAGGAATAAAGAGGATACGAGGACCAATTTTCCATGCTGAGGGCCTTGTTTTGCAATGAATAGCTCCCTTAATAAACCCGAACTAACATGAGAAAAAAAACAGAAAAAAACTGAACAGCAGAAATGGGGGATGAGAAAAAATACAAAGAAAAAATAAGATCATGACAAACAGTCCCCAAAACCAACAACCAGGACCTAAGTAAAAAATAGAAAATTGAAATTAAAATTTTTGGGGGTGGTGTCCTCTGGGGGGGACAGAGGGAAAACATACAGTCACTTGAACAAAGCAGAGTGCTTTTTGGAAAGGGTGAGGCAAAATTTGGAAAAACCAAAATTACTGAGAGGAACGAAAATCGATCTACAAAACACTTTTGCAGTTTTCTTTTTGGAGCGGAATCTGGAGAAGCCAAAAAGGAGCACCAAACTGCCCCCTTCCACCCCATGTTACGTAAAATTTTCAAAAATTTTCTGGCCCGAACAAACTCAAATACTAAACTACTTCAAAA